AAAATGGGGGGGGGGGGACTTATTTTAAATTATAGTAATATTTCCCAATATGACTATTTTTACTGTATTTCTGATCAAATAAACTTGGTGAGCATAAGCATATTATTAATAATAATAAAAATAAATAAATAAAATTTACCAGCCCTAAACTTTTGAGTGGTAGTGTAAACTTTTCATTAAATTATACTTTATCTTTATCTATACTTTATCTAGAGTGGAAGAACAATTCATTTCTCAGAATTTTATTACTGATCGATGTCATGACATCAGTGATGAAATCTTATCTGGCTCCCTTTAATTCCAGAACCAATAGTACTAAATTAGCTAATTATGGACCAGTATTGAAATTCACTCAAAAAGTAAGTAAGTCAGTACTGTTGCTCCCAATAATATTTAAATTTGATCGTAACCAAAAATATGATGTTTCAAGTGAAATGTGTTAGTTAAAAAATTATTCATAAAAAATCATAACTTTGAGTGTGTATGCGTCACTTGAACTTTTGTGGAGGTGTCTAACCTCAGAAAGAGCTTCCGTTGCAGCCTTTGTCTGCTCAGTCTGAGTGATGTTCTGAACTTCATACAGAGAGATCTGCTCTGAGAGCTTTTCCACATGCTTGGTCAAACGCTCAACATAAAGATCCTGACAGAGAGAAAGAACGAGAGATGCTTGAACGAACATATAACAGAGCTTCAATGAAATGGAAAGAATGCAGTGTATATATATATATATATATATATATATATATATATATATAGTAACTTTTATCACATTAAAGCAGAATAACTAGAATTTTCTGGTAAAAATAATTATATGAGAATGCATAAAGTGATTAATAGCTAAACACATTAAATGGAATATTTGAAGTCGTGTGCTCTAGAACTCCACCTGCTGGTGTTTATGCTCCTCTGCCTGAGTTCTCTCTTTCTGGGCTTTGTGTGAAGCATTTATTATGGCTTTGATGTCTGAGTGCAGGTCAGTATTGGCCTCCTGCATGTAGAGCAACTTCAGGGCCAGGCTGTCCACTTTAGACTGTAAATCAGAGACTATAAAGAGAGCACAAATGTTTAAGGTAAGACAAACTGAGATTTAATTGCATTTAATTGACTTGTTGATTGTCTAAAGATGAAGTCTGCACTACAAGAATTGTAAAATAATTATTTTCAAATAATTTCTGCTATCTGCTATTGTTCAACAGGTAGTCCCCCCACAAACTGAAGCCACTGGTTGAGCTATTATTATTACTATGCTGGGCTGGTTGGGATAATATCTGGATAACAGGGTTTTACAGCGCCACAGAGTAACAATGTTTACAATTTTTGGGGTCAATCAGAAATCAGAACTAATGAACAATAGCAGCCCAAACACACCTGTGTTCAGTATCTTAAAATGTGCCATTGGTTAGAGCTAAATTTTCTCTACTGTAATTGCATTCTTGTTCATAGCAGTTATTAATAACCAAAACTAAAAACCATATATTTTTGTTAACTGAAATAAAGTTTAAATAAAATATAAATATTAGATGAAAAACAAGACTAAATCGAAATTAGAAAAGTTACCTTGGCAAATAACTAAAATAAGTTTAAGTTGAAGCACTAAAATTACTAACTGGAAATAAATAAAAACTACAACTGAACTAAAACTAAAACTGAAATAAAATAAATCTAACTTAAATAGTAATATTTAAACAACAACAACAATAATAAATAATAAATGACAAAAGCATAAAAAACACAAAGAGAAAACTACAAAAAAATAAAAACAATATACAAAAATAAAAGCTAATTTAAAATATTAATAAAAATAATAGTATATAAATAATACAAAATAACACTGGTTCATAGATCTTCTTTTCACCTTGCATACGTTGTTTGTTGGCCTGACTGGCAGTATCTCGGTACTGATTTTTTACCCCATCCAGCTGGTCTTGGGCCTGTTTTTGCTGAGAAGCAGCCTGTGCATTGGCCTCATGACTTGCCTCCAGAGATGCCTGGAGTCTGGCCAACATCTCATGCACCATGTATACTTCTTCAGCAAGTTTGTGACGTTTCTGAGCCTCTCCCTTCTCCACTACTATCTGCAGCAGAGCAGCAACAATCAGTTTCCGTATCCCTTGTTTTTATACAAGTGTGTGCATATATTTCCCGAAGTACAAAAGAAATTTGTCATTTCTGCTCAGTGTGCATGTGTAGCTATACAAAAATGGATCATATCAATAATTTGTAGAGGAAAGTACCAAGAGTTTTCACCAAGGTTTTTTTTTTTCCTTTTCTTTTTTCTATTACCTTCTCAAGGAGCTCAAGGTTCAATCTCTCCAGCTGATTACTGAGGTTGTTTTTCAATGCAGACTGGAATCTTTTCATTAAAGGCTGATGGGTACAAAATGTAAAGAATAAAATGAGATGGGGTATGAGAATTGTATTCTTTTTGCTTTGGCCAAAAAAAAAATCGTTTACACACATGCTCAGGATCCAGCACTACAAGTTCTTCCTCTTCCTCATCTTCCTCTCTGACTCTCTCTTCTGCCTCAATGTCACTGATCTCCAGCTGGAGGGAGTGCTGTCCACTAGTCCCAGCTACAAGTCCACTGGTGCCAGCATGATCAGAGCCTCTGTCATAATGGTCTGACTGCTCCATCGATTCCCGCTATGAATAAAATCATTAACAAACATTCATTCTACAGTACATTAAAACCAACTTAGTTCACGCTGCAAGCCGTGCAAGATCGCTGGTACAATGGGAAAACTAAAGCAAAAAGCTGTTTTTAACTCTGATATCATCTATATGATGAATGTCTTTAGTGTTTAGAGTTAAACTGATACAAATGAAAGGTTCGTGTATGAATCTAGACCTCCTGAGGCTCTGTAAATTCATCAGGAACCTCTTCCTGCCTGTTTATCTCATCCTCCAGCAGACCTCCATCACACCCACCACCTTCCATCTCTTCATAATCAAAAATAAAGTAACAGTTACCGTAATTCAACACAGACACTAATACATTAACAGGACATTACAGAGTAATTGCATTTTAATACTTTTAAATGATCACCTGTTTCTTTTATATCCTGGTCCTGAGTGGCAGAGAGCTGTTGGGAAGCAATGTTTCCCCAAAGTTATAAAAAGTTATCGTTCAATTTGCAATAATTTCTGGTGTCACCATTTAGCAGCGCGAGACCTTCAGCGTTTCTTTTGCATCTCCGTTGCTAGGAGACGCCACACTTCCGGATTCGCTGCTCTTTATAAATGATACAATCAATCTGGGGGGGGGGGTCTCAAACAGCAAGATATAAAACATAGTAGAGTTCTTTTAAAAAAAATTGTATCTTCATTGTAACTTCGTTGGTATCTTGTTTGTTTACCTTTTTTGAAGAATCTTAAGGCTATATTTACCTCCCACACAGTAGGTGGCAGTGTTGTGCTTTCAACTGGCTTTAGAGAGCGCGAAGAAAGCTAAGCTGAGAGGCACTTGTATGAAGACGGAATGGATACAAAGAAATTAACATAGTGAGCTTGATCAATCATTACACTCCTGTCGGTCAGTATTTTTAAACCAGTTAAATTACTTGCTCTCTATCATGCATGGAAACGCCACATGTTTAGATTCGTATTAACAGGCCAGTGTTTCATTAATAGCTGAGCTGACATGGGTGGATATGTCATTCAATTCTAACAAAAAATACCAAAAAGAATAATACCATAATAGTACATGATGTGTCGTAGTATTATGACCATGAAAAGCAGTTTCATGACATGTAACGTTACCGTAGTATTTTAGAATTACTTTGCAAAGTACCATGTAAATATCATGTACATGAACATGAGATTCATTCAGCAAATCCAGGGATCCTATATAAAATTACTATTTTTGAGTGCAGTCTCTTCTGTTTTTGTGAACTTCCAGAAGAGATGAAGGTTAAAATAAAGCAGTGGAATGGTGTGGCGTCCTGGTTGTGGGTAGCCAACGATGAGAACTGCGGCATCTGCAGAGCGCCTTTTAACGGCTGCTGCCCAGATTGTGGGTAACATGGTTTCACTTTACATACACTGCCACCTGTGCCTTTTTGTGTGTGCCATTTTGTCATGAAATCCTGTTGATGTTTTAGTTTAAATTGTTTTGTGTAGTTGAACAAAATGTATTCAAAATGAAATGTACTCTCTGGTTTTAACAGGTAAGGTCCCAGGAGATGATTGCCCTTTGGTTTGGGGTCAGTGCTCTCACTGTTTCCACATGCACTGCATCCTGAAGTGGCTGAACTCTCAGCAAGTGCAGCAGCAGTGCCCAATGTGCCGTCAGGAGTGGAAGTTTAAAGAGTGAGCTCGCTGTCAGGCAACAGCACAACACCTGGATTTTCACTGTGAACTCTGTATATATTCTTAAAAATAATGTGACAACTATCTCAGTAATGAATGTTCTTTTTTTTTCCAGGGGAGACACTTCCTGAGGAGATTAAATAAGTGTACACTCTCAGATTGATTCTTCTGTATGTTTTTTATACAATAGTATATTTTACATCCTACAAATGTACAGTTTTGTGATTAAATATCCCACAAAATGAAAATATTTTTAAAAAGACATGGTATGGTTTTGTACAAAGTAGCTGACATTACAGATAAAATGACTGCATTTTGCCGTCCAAGGGACAGTCATTTTAAATTATGAACACCGTACAGAATGTCACAGGACACTTACAATGGTATGCGCTTGTGCATGTCTTAAATCATTGACATGAAATTCACACAATTTAAAATATTTTAAAATTTAATCAACACTCTTTTGCACTCATGCCTTCTTTTGCCCACATGTCTATATTTCAGTGTTTTCAGAAACAATATATACAGTACATTAATGGTGCTACATGAAAATAATATTTTATATATCAGGATTAAAACAAGGTTGGAGGAAAGTTGAACCACTGACTCAAATTGCCCCACAACCACCATTTCTGTGTTTGCAAATCATAAAAATGGTTAATTTAAATTGTAAACTTGGATTAAAAATGTGTAAATATATAGCACATTTCCCCATATGCTTCCCTCAATCACAGACAGCTAGATATGACTGGCCACTTCTTGAATTTATTAACATAAAAGAAATTCAAACAAGTCTCTAGATATGAGGTTCAGTACTTTACCTATGAGCAAATCTTACTCCCATCTTTTCATTTTCTTGCAACATGGAATAACTACTGAAAAAATAGTAAAAATAAATTCATTTTGTCTACGTTTCTGTTTTAGTTTATTTTGTTGGTTTGATGTTAAAAATTATAGATCAAAAAGACTTGCTTTTTTACATGTACGCTTTGATGTGTTTTTAAATTAGCATAGTGTGCTGTAGGGATGACATATTTTTGTAGGCCAAATCCTGGAAATGAGTTTCTCGTTTTCATTGTCCTCAAGTCAATGGGTATTTGGTTAAATGCCTGAAATAGGATAACCCAGGTTCAAGCTTTTTCTACAACATAAAATACATCATCAGTATTTTATGTTGTAGAAAATTGTGAGGTTTTTTTTTAATGAGCTAACATATGGCTAAAGGAGGATTTCGGGGTCATTAAATGTCTCAATGGGAAACAGGAACAAGAAACACTGAACAGGAAATCTACTCTACATCTAAATTGTGTTAATTTGTGAAAATTATCATTATGAACCAAACTTAACGTAATAACTTTTGTTAGTCTCAGAGCTTGTTTTCTGCAATAATCCAAAAGCCAATGGATAAATCCAGGCATTTATCACCTACAAAAATACATCATCACTGCAGCACTCTATGGGCAAAATCCAAATGGCCTCACTTCGGGAAGGGGGCGCCATTTGTAGGGACGTTCCAAACAAAAGTGAACAACTGAATTGAAGGGCCTTTCCAGAAGTCCATTAGCGAAGAACATGCAATGGTCACTTTACTCACTTCACGAAAGTGATTTCCATTTGTGATCATGTGATCTTAAATTAGGAGATCTTGCGATGCATTTTAAAGCAAAGTTGAGGTTGATTTCAAGTAGAATAGGCTAATTAAATTTGTCTTTATTTTAATGTAATACAAAACATTTTTTGCCAGTGATAGAAATATGATTTAAGACGGTAGTGTAAGCAAGTTTAGTTTTAAAAAGTTTAATAGTAAATAAGACAATTGGACAATATTTGAATAAAATAATAAGAAAAAATCTTTATTTGCAACAACTGATGGGAGTGCTGAATGCTGCATACACATGCAGAGTTTGGCATTTGGTCAGTCATTTCCTTTGCCAAGGGAGTTCCAAATGCTTATACTAGATAGTAATGCCCTGCACCCTTCAAAGAACACACTTCAAGGGCTCTGCCCTTCGAAGGGAGTAGGGCATAGGGATGCTCACTTCCGTTTGGAATTCGCCCTATATGAAATCAAAGACTATAGAATACCCAAGACATGTCACTCGTATAGTTTTGAATGGGGAAATATGCTACGCTCAATATGGCCGCTCTATCGAACGAAGCCACGCCTTCTGAGGAAAAGAGCCAATCGCTAATCGGTAAAGTCAGCGCGTCACTGCAGCTGCCATTAGAAGTCCCGGTTGCTGTAGAAACAGTCAACACTCTGAGACATGCGCCTAGGAATGTACATGCGCACTGGCTGGTCTATCTTGAGAAATAAGCTTTTTTAAATGCTATTTGAGCAAAATAAACAACTCTTGTGATACAGTTGTTGTCAGATTTCATTGGTGATTTCAAATATGAAATTTAACCGTAAGCTTTGTGAGCAGTTTTGGAGAATTTGATGATTTCCCCATTCAAAGAGATAGGAGTTGCACTTGCATGCCCGAGAGGCGTTTCGCGCGTCACTGCAGCTGCCATTAGAAGTCTCAGTTGCTGTAGAAACAGTCAACACTCTGAGACATGCGCCTAGGAATGTACATGCGCACTGGCTGGTCTATCTTGAGAAATAAGCTTTTTTAAATGCTATTTGAGCAAAATAAACAACTCTTGTGATACAGTTGTTGTCAGATTTCATTGGTGATTTCAAATATGAAATTTAACCGTAAGCTTTGTGAGCAGTTTTGGAGAATTTGATGATTTCCCCATTCAAAGAGATAGGAGTTGCACTTGCATGCCCGAGAGGCGTTTCAAAGATGGCCGCCGAGTGACATGACTTGCCTTAAAGGGACTTTGATGAAATGCAATGGAGATTATAAGAACATATTTAAAGCAGCAACATCTGTTCTTAAATACAGGACAAAGTCATTGTCAGTGAACAACTTTGATCATTTAAAATCGGCAAAATAAATGGCCTGAATAACATCAGTGCACTAGGCAAGAGATTTATGCTGTATTAGTCTGTATGCTGGATAAATCCAATCGTTTCATAAAGACTTTTTGGGGTCTTGTGTGTTTTTCCTTTTCACATCATTCAAGTCCACTGGTGTAAAAGCTGAAGAGTAGAAACAAACCGTTAGAGAGCATGCATGCATTTTCAACATATTTCAGGTAAGTCTTTAGAAAAATTATCAGTTTTCATTCATTTGGTTTTTATGAAAAATAAGGCAAGATAAGGGAACAACTGTTCAAACAGCTTTGCCAAAATATTTCAACCAATATTTATTATTTATCACTCTTATGTTCCTTCAACAACAAAATACAATCCTCAGGTTAAATTAAGTCACTTTGGATAAAAGCATCTGCTAAATGACTAAATGTAAATCAACCAGTTGAACATACAGTTTAGTGCAGGGTTTGGCGTCCTCTCCACATATTTCTGAGGTCCCTGGTTATTGTTTTCATTTCCCTGGCAAGTCTGCATTTCTCTCATGACACGCTGCCAAGCTGTTGGAGGAAGAGTTGATGTTATAAAAAACTCTTAATTCCCCCCCAAAAAACTTCTCATACAAATAGGATATTTTGATGGCTCTCTGACATTTGAAAATATTTCTTATGAGCCAACGTACTGTAATGAATGAATCGCACATTTTCCTCATGTGCTGGTGTGAGTAGTTCCTCAGTGTTGGTTGGGGAAGAGGCTCCAGTTGTCTGTTTGTAATTCTGAACCATTTTTAAAGATGGAGAGCTGCCAACAACACTGTCAAAATCCAACAGTTTACTATTGTCAAACGCCACAGTTTACTATTATTAAATCAAATTTAAAACACTTAAAAGACAGACCCACTGTGAAAGATCCTATTGTTAAATGGACAACTAAAGAGTTAATTACCTGACTATTTGTGTGCTCCCTAGGAAGTGTCAAAGCACAAAATGAGGCGGTTAAAACCTGAAATGTAGCAACAACTTTTAGAGCTGGTCTGTTTTTTACGTGCTGCCATCTAGATTACATATAAATCTTATCTTCAGGACTTGTTTATTCAATATTTTTAATACTAGCTGCTCAGTTCAAACTATACCAACCAACTAGCTCGGTATCTAAACTATGCCGAACGTAGTTTAAGGTCAGTCTCACAAACAAACACTAATTTGCCGTTATATAGCACTGAAATAGCAAATGCGTTTTTATATTTTCCCATAAAATAACGACATATTTTCGCAAATGATACCCAGCTAGCTTAGCAAGCTAACGTCAAAAAACAGAAACCCTCCACAAAAAAAACACAACAGAACTCGATGCATGAACCAGGGATCAATATAACGTGACTAATATATTACGATTAATGTAACTAAAACTTTTGCGCATTTGAGACTTACAATGTGGCGTTGAAATCCTTTGTCCCAGCCAAAAAGACACTTGTCAAAACAACGTACAATGCTATGTTCAGCGGTGTCTAGCACAATCAGTTCAGTGATGTCAGACTGGAGAACGAATCATTCTGTTGAATCGGATCTTTTCAATGGATCACAAAAATCAGACATGTCTGAGTCGTAAATGAGCTGAGATCCAATGAGTGAACTGACAGTAAGACTAATTGGAATTTACCGAAAATTTTTCAATGGGTCGAAAAGTAAATTTAGTACTTAAATCGCTGGCTTTGTTTTCTATAAGCTGAATCACGTACGTAACCGTAGAAGAATCACTGAATATGTTTATTGATCCTTTTATCACGTGTTTCAAAAGAACCGATTCGTGTAAACGACTTCACACAGCACATTCGCGATTCGTTCAGCAGAGCACATCCTCGGTTAACTGTCAAACGTGTTCGTGCCTTTCAGAAGGATTTTTACATTTCTACAAAACTTATGTCATTCAATAACAAGTGCCACACAATAATATGTCATTCAATAACAAGTGGCATACAATTGTTTGATTTTACATTGAAAAGGAAATAAACAGTGCTAGGATTCTTTAAAAAAAAGATCAATTGCATAATAAATTAGTCTGAAGCCTATTATGTATTATTATTTTATGTATATTGTGTGAGGAGCTATGGACACAGACAACAGCTAAAATAAAACAGACAGCATTGTTTTTATGTATATATATATATATATATATATATATAAACATTTAATCCAGGCATGTATAAAATTAAGACTTTCCGTAAGACTTTTTATATGTAAATTGATTTTAAAAAATCACATACAATCACAGTGAGCTATTTATCAAACTCTCATTAGTGCATTGATCTGCTACTTAAAAATCATGTTTCAAAATAGAAAGCGTTAACAAATTAACACAGAACAGCTGTTGTGACTGTCATTAGTATACAGCACGAACACACTGCATTGTCAACACTAGAAGAGTTCCTTCCTGCAGAGGCAAGTGCAACTCACATCCTATCACTGTCATTGGTCCAAATGTGCAGGACCAGACAATTATAAATGGACACTCTGTCAAGGTGTCTCAACTACCAGCTCCACTGGCATACACAGTGCCTGTTTCACTCCTTTTCTGGCTTTATCCCTTTAACGTGGCAACTGCCATATCAGAAGAAAATAATCAGAACTTCAATGTCAGGCAAGTTCAGGCACCACCGACCCCAAAGAGTTCAAGAAACTCTTTGCTGTCTGGGTCAATGAGGTCAATGGGCTTCTCCCCACAGTCATTTTCAGCCTCAGTGTCTGCACCCAAAGAAAGCAAGTACCTGAAACAAAAATAAAAACTTTCTTTAAATCTTTCACCAGTTTCTTGACAGATTTGGTTTCAATAATCATGCACATTTTAGAGATCAAAGAATACAGCTGGTAAACAGCTTTCTGTTTTTGTAAGTCTTCCTTGCTGAAGCATTTCGCTTTTCAGAGAACTATTAAAAAAATAGAAATCACAACTAAAGGCTTGTCTTTATTTTCCTTTACTATAAATAGTAATCATCTATTAAATGTCCAGGTCTAATTTGTGTTTACCAAAGTCTAAATAATACATTAAATTAAAATTGCTTACTTAGCTATTTCTGGAAAGCCATCACTACAGGCCATATGGAGGGCAGTCCATCCGTCCTCGTCCCTCTGGGAGATGTCAGCCCCAAGTTTTACCAGAAGCTTCACACACTCCAGGTTTCCAGATAGGACTGCTTCATGAATGGCTGCCATGCCTGGACAATCAGCAAGGAGTTAATGTTAAAGGACAGGCTCAGACAACTCTATTATCAGTGGATTAAAGCTTCAGATAATTTTGATTATGTTATCAAATAGTAAGAGCTGCCTAGACAAAAATGGCATTGCTAATTATTAGGATGAATAGCCTTTATTAGAGATCATGGAATGCTTTTGTGTTCATAACTGCATTTTAATTACTTGCATGCAGAGTATCTAGTTGAGTCTGAACAAAGACTTACTTTCCATAGCTGACTCAATTGCGTACACAAGTAGTTGATTTTCCTACCTGAATGATAGATGGTGTCCAGACTCACTCTTTTGGTTCTAATGAAGCGTCCAATTCTCTCCAGCTCTCCTTGACGGACATAATCCTGAAAAACTATGTCGTTGGGAAAGTGAACATTGCGAACAGGTTTGATGGAAGGCCGTGAATGAAAGCATGATAGTGGTCTAGTGGCATTTGGGTTGCACCCCTCATAGCGCATGGTCTGGGTGACTGGACACTGATAGTACTTCATCATTCTTTAATGTTTGTGTTCCTAAGATTGGATGAGAAATTCCGCACTAATTCTCAATGTTCAGCACAATCAGAGATCTTCAGAATTTCTTCTTTTCCAAGGTGCTTGTCTTGAAATTTCCAGCTGCTCAGTCTGTTTGGTTGTTTGTTTTTCTCTTGATGTAGAGTACCTTCCTAGACAGTCGTTCAGAGGTTGGTCTGAAGTCAGGGCTCTCTGTGTACCCTATATATACCCCCCACTTGACTATATTAAGAGACTGTCATCTCATAGCTCAGATGACTGAATTGGAAGATGAGTGGGTGTGATCTAGAGTCACACCCCTACGATTCTCATCCAACTTAGCAATAAGATCCGTAACCTCAGCTTGTTTTCACACACCACATTTAAACCAAATCTTTCCTCCACCTCTTCAGATAAATTCCCCCACCCCAGCTCCTGTTGTCACACAGCAGGGAAGCCAACAGTAATTTCTAGTACACAGTGAATATGCTTGCTGTTTATCTTTGTTTATGCTCTTGCTCTATTTGCAGATGACTGTTTAATCACATTAATATGTCATGATCCCTGACAGCAGGCCTGACAGTGTTTTCTACTTTAAATCTACCTGACTTTCTATTTTGTGAGCTGAGTTATTATTACTCAGCCCCTATTATTACTTGGGTCCAGAAGTTTCTACATGTTCTGGGTATTACGCAGGGTAAAAGTAATTTGAAATGGTAACCCCCCGGAATGACACCTGTCACACTCCAGGTCAATAAGAGGGGTTAATGTGAGCTAGCCTGGTCTTAGACCAGTGGGCTCTATGAACCACCTTGAACTGTATGAGCCTGTGATGTGCACAAAGAGAGGAGTAAACCCTTTTGAAGACTGCTTTCCATGTCTCCTTATTAAAGTCAGTGCCAATGTCTTGGGACCAGACATTGGCACTGAGTAGGTTATCAGAGGAAAATTGCAAATTAACAATTATATTCACTAGTTTAGTGAATATAAACTAGTGCCCTGTACACAAGGATCCACACCCAGAATGGTGTCCAAATCTGAAGGGAGAGGCGCATTTGGAAAGATTACAATTTTTTACGTACAAAGTCTCGAATTTGTAAATATCTGAAAAAATGGCTTTTGGGAATATTAAACTGAGAGGTCAACTGATCAAAGGAGGCAAAAACACTATCGATATAGAGCTCAGCAATAGAAACCAATCCAAGATCCCTCAAGGAGGCTTAAGCACTGTCCAAAACAAAGGGGTAAAACAAAGGGCTAGAATGTGTTGGGGATAATAAGAGTGTATCATGAAGGTCAAAATGCTGCAAAAATTGGATCCAGATTTTAAGACTAAATTTTAATATTATTTGAATATTTCAAGGGCATCCAGGGAGGTGGACTTACATGAGACATTCTCAATGTGCAGCCAGGATGGGGAATGGACAAAGCTGCTTGAATAGAACCAAAACAGAGTAGAGCGTATATTCGCTTCCAAATAATAATTAGAAAATTAGGAAGAGCCAGACCACCCAATGGTTTTGGCTTCTGCAGAATGCCTTTCCAGATCTTTGGAGTTTTTTTTTTTATTCCAGAGAAAAGTAGAAATAGAGCTATCAAGTGCAACAAAAAAGGACTTGGGAATAAAATAGACTATTAAGCAAAGGGACAAAGTTGTGGTCTGAAAAAATCTGAAAAACTTTTTGTCACATATATGCCCAAATATCTAAAACTCTGCAAAGAAGATTTGAAAGGCATTGTAAGAAATTATAGTCTGCCTCGACCAAACTTCCACTCCAAGTAAACTATTCTCCTCTCCATACAAAGAGCTTAATTATCATAGAGATAATTCTTTCCGATCTCAATAATATGTAAATAGTATCTCCTGAACGTTACTTCGTCAATCGTCACCTATAGCGTGGGAGCGGCAGTAGGCCATCAAGAACCATCTGCTGACCAAAAGGGTACTTGAATATAATTGCACCTTAACATTTGGTAGTGGGAACGGAAGGCTATCACTTTCATTGTTATCCGTAATTTACATTTAAGACGAAACTTCATTTACATGTGGGAAGATGAAACGGGAAGATGAACGTAATAGAGTAGGCCTATAAAATGTTTGAGCTTAGGATGTTCGTGGTTCATTCCGACTCCGTTGAACCCAAGGTACTACATGTACTTTGTCACTGCTATGCTGCAATAAACATCTTCATCGAGATCTTCATCGTCCTCATCATTTTTCTTACATTGGCGAGCCACCCAGCGCAGGAGTTTCCAAAAAGCAGGAAAAAAGGTAAGAAAAGCGGTTTCTTTCTTTTTGCTGGTTTTGTCAGGGAATCCCCTCGTTTAAAAAATCTAGAAAAGAAATTGTAAGGATAGAAGAGAATCTATTCAGTATTAGCAGGAGGAGTTCTTAAGCATATACGGTACAATTCTGTTTAAAATTCTAACGGAACTGAATTAACCCGACGTAGTGTGATGGCAGAGCTGTATTGGAATCGTTGTTTCTAAAGTAACTGAAGCAAAGTGCTTAAGTTTAAAGTTTCTAAAGTAACTGAAACTTGTTGTTGGTCTCTTATAATTCTGTTAAGATTCTAAAGTGATTGAATCAACCCGACACAGTGTGGTGGCAGAGTTGTATTAGATCTGTTGTGTCTGAAGTTGTAATTTTCTAACGTATTTGAAACTGACTGTGAAGATGTTATAATTCTGACTGAATTCTAAAGTAACTGAATTGATCCGACGTAGTGTGATCACAGAATTATTTCATGATAGTTGTGTTATAGTATAGTGAGTCCGACGTACCGCGACTCTTAAGTTTAAACCAGTAACCCGAAGCAGTGTGTTTTTTGCCCGACGTACTGTGGCACTGTTTTAATCTGATAAGTTTGAGCCCGAGGAACTGTGGCTAGAAAAAGGCTGTTTGAGAAAATATAACAAAAAAAAAAGACCCAACGTACTGTGGTTTTGTCCGATGTACTGTGAAAAACAATGTTTTGGTTTTTTTTAACAGTTGCAGAAGTTGAAGCTGTAAGTGCTTGTTTTGCCTGAAGTGTAAGACATTTGTTATCATTCTGTTAAGATTCTAAAGTAATTGAATCAGCCCGACGCAGTGTGGTCACAGAATTATTTCATAACTTTAGTGTTTTTGTGTTGATATGCCCGACGTACTGTGGCTAAGTAAACTGTTTTAAAGATATAACATAAAACCCGAAGTGTGGTTTTGTCCGACGTACTGTGACAAGTGTTACATTTTTACCGGTTTAGTGTAGTGAAGTGTAAGGTCCGACGGAGTGTAGCCGTGTCTGGAGAAGTGAAAAATTTGGTTTAGAAGCCCGACGTAGTGTCGCTGTTTTATTAATTTGCAGCCAAAGCACAGGAGCTGTGAATAATTTGACTAACAGGTATCTTAAAGTAACTAGATAATGTTCAGTCAGTGAAGGAAAAGAAGCCTATTGAATTGCTGAACACAATTCAATAAGAATGTGAAAATGGAAGAGTTGATAGTTAAATACATCGCTAAGCACGGCTCAGTAGGAATATTTGAGGGGATAGAGAAGGCAGATGACCCATACGAGTGGCTATGTCTCAATTTAAAAAATGGTCCCAAAATGCCTAAAAACAAAGAGGGAAAAGTTGCTAATGCACTTCAAGCTCTTTTTGCCTCATACAAGGTAACTAATAAAATATTAGAAGAAATTAAAACTGAAAACAAGTTGCTAAATTGTCAAGCTAAATTCTATGTTATGTCATTGAGAAATTGCAAGGCTGAAGAGGGATGAGCTATCGTGATTTGCTTAAGAAGATAGGCAGTTTAGAAACCCAGTTGGCACTGTTGAAACGAAATAAGGAAGAAGCCATTCACACCTTGCCAGACACAGCACTGCATGAACAACATGACTGTAGCTCAGTCACAAGCAGATGCTGATGTGAATTGTAGGAATAGTTTTATGATAGTATTATATTTTAGAAAATATGTTTACTATCAAAAGGGGGGTGATTCTTTATCATTTTTTGTAAATGTGTTAATGGCATTCATATTTAAATTTATTTAATGAGAAATTATTGAATTGCATTCTGTGATTACATTTCTGTAGCTTTGGTTTTGAATGTGAAAAGATTCTTGAGGGGGAAAGGGGGGGAAACCTCTTCTTTTTTTATCTCGTTTCAGGTATAAGCATCGAGATGCTGGAGAAAGATGATCCGGTCATCTGAAGGACAAGAAGGCCAGCAAAACCAGTGGAACCAGGGGACTTCCAGAAGAAAAATGACTTCAAGAAGGCCAGCAGGGCCAGTGGACTTCCACAAGAGAAGGGACTTCTTAAAGAACAGAGTGATCATCAGAACCAGAAATTGAGAGATGTCCAGACCTACAAGAACCAGAACTCCAAGCTTAAAAGATCTAGAAACCCTGAGACCCACAATGGCATGGATGGACCTGATGGAACTTCACAAACTGCAACAACAGCTAGAAGGACTTTTCCAAATAGAAATTAATGGACAATGGAAAAGAGAAACAAAGAAATCCAACTATTTTCAGAGACTGTGGACAGCAGTCTTATCACCGAGATGGAAAACAGGAAATGAGAAATGCACAAAGACAGACTCTATGCACATGATACCAGAAAGAGACAAACATATGCATACTCGAATGCAGAACATTGTCTACTGAATGCACACATGTGGACAAAGGATGTCCACACTGAGAGAATGGACACAATGCAAGTGACAAAAGTCCATTTGGGTTTATCTGTGAGTGTGATGCTTTGAAAAAACAACCATTGTGTGGAGCACTCCAAAATAACTATGAATCGTGTGAAATCAATTGAACTAATCTTCACAATAATTTGACTAGGGTAACATTGTCAGACAAGAGAACATGTATTACAACAACTCTAAATCACTTCTCCATTTTTATTGATAATAACCAGACATTCTGTCCAATTAATGATACTTCATTTTGTATGACCCCTGAATCAACCTGGTCTATAGGAAATTATCATTACCGTTTGTGTTTGTATCCTTCTAATTATGTGCCAATGCATGATTCTATGTTGTATGTGTTCTATGGTGAAACGTCAAATTGCAGATAGTTCCCATTGGTTGTGATGGTTCTTGATTACCTCTTCCAAACCCTAGAAACATTTTCCAAATTTAAACAATCCTGTTTTTTTAACAAGCAAAAAAACCCTGTGATAATTTTGCTCAAATGAAACGGAGCTGTAACCAGTGTGCATGAGGTGTCGACCCAATGACAGGTAAGAATCTCTGATGGCCATAAATAGGGATCGACCTAAGCCAGGGCTTCCCCGCCACTGGGCACCTGCCCAGGAAGGGAGGTGTGATCTGTGTAAGGGAGTGGATGTGATGCTTCTTCCGGGCCAAGAGCATCAAAGAGGGGACTGTAAAAAATTATAGTCTGCCTCGACCAAACTTCCACTCCAAGTAAACTATTCTCCTTTCTCTACAAAGAGCTTAATTATCATTGAGATAATTCTTTCC